TTTATATTATTGAGTAATGTATGATGTCACTGCAGTTATATTATTAAAATAAGTATAAACTATATTGTTGTTAATAATAGTGACCACAAGCTTGTATAATCTACTTTGTAGTTTGTTAACATACAGTTGATTTTTATAAAGACACTTGGTGACTCTTTATTGTTTGATTAAATGGCATATGCATGTATCAAAATTTTCATTACACTTTGCAACAATTAATCTAGCTACAATTCATACATCATTAAATAATTTGTGGTGCTTTTATTTTTATGTTAATTTTCTTGCTGTGAACTGCAACATGCTAAAAATTAATTTACTTGTTAGTCATTCTTATGGGTGGAACATGCAATATGCTGTATTAAAAGCAATATTGATAGGTTCAAAGTCATTTGAATATGTTACAGTGGAAGAGATGTTAGCTGAGCTTGTTGATTTGTTAGCAGGAAATGCTCCAATTATTTCACAATTTACTAATGATGCCTTTTTATCTGGTCTCATTGTTGAAGCCACTGGATGTACTCCATATGAAAGAGCTGACAAAATTTTCTCTTCAGTACTAGCAACACTAAAGTTTCATCCTAATCCCAGGAGAGTTTTTTCTTCTCTCATAACTTCACTAAAGAAAGTAGGACTAAATGACATGGCATTTAAGCTAATCGAGAATTTAAGTAAGATGCAGCATTAATTTTTTGATTAACTTAATTTTAATCTATAATAGGAATTAAAGGTGGTCATATTGACCATAATCCAGAGCACTATCATACAGAGCAGCTCAGTTCAAGTAGTGAATTTGAAGTTGCTAGCAATATAAAAAATGTTTATGCACAGGAAAAATTTGGAATTAAAAGTAGGGCTTTTAAACTAATGGACAAATTAAGTAAGTTATATTAGTACAGTGCAATTGTATTTTAATTTCTAATAGGAATAAGGCGTAGTCGTAATTATCCTAAATTAGAGCAGCAACCACTAGTCAGTAAACAACCAATTCAATCAGTGGATGTCACTGCACAGTCTCACACATCAGGACTAATGGCAATCACTGAATCACAATCATCTACTCCTACTACTGTTATTGAGCTCTGTTCAAAGAGTGAAGTTGCTACCAATATTGGAAGTCTTCATTGTCATTTTGTATCTCTTGATACTAATATAAGAGATGAGTTTAAGAAGCTGGTGAAAAATGAAAAAGTGGAGCTTAAAGCAGTAGCTTCTAGTGCAGCTGCTTATTTGAGCATTGAAGTAACCACTTTGAGATATAGTGACCAAGTTGATGAATTATTTGATTCTCTTCAGGCTCATTATGATTTTTTAAATTGTGGTTTACTCAAACACTTAACAGACACTTTCCTTTCAATTGCACAAACTGAATTAACACAATACATCGATAGTGTTGATAAAATCTCAGAATCATCACAATTAAAGCACATATGGTCAGCAATCAAAGAGAATTCATCATTATCAGAAGCAGCCTCACCAACCACTAACTATCAAACAAAACTAATCAACGTTAAATTGAGTGACAGATGGAAAGAAATGACATTAAGTACACTCAAAGCAGTTCTCAAGTACTATTTTGGAGTAATGTCAGATCTTTTTAGTCATGCTAGTTTTGATTATGGTTCATTTGTTGTTACTTTCTTATTACCAGCCTCACAGTCACAGTCTCTTGTTGATATAATCATTGACAAAACAAATTCAATGAGTAGACTGGGCATATTGGAAGTTGTTGTTGACAACACAATAATTCCGATGAGAAAAGAAGACAATACTGCAAGTTTTAATGCTTCACTTCATCAATCAGTTATTCTTGGTGCTAGCTTTGAAGTGTCAATACTGCTGCAGTTAGGAGCTGATCCTAACAGCAAAAATGAAAAAGGAAAAAGTGCAGTAGAGATAGCTATTGAAGAAGGGCACACTCATGTAAAATTCTTCTGGAGGGTGAGTTAATAAAATACATGTGATTCAGTTGAGCTTAAAATACACTTTACATGCATCCTTAGTCAATTTAGATAATAGATCCAAATGAATTAATTGGGAATGAGCATATAGTAAGCTTCATGTCACGAAATATTTTGTTCTAGAGTAGAAAATGGCCTGACCATAATTGGCTAAACCCACCTTGCAATGTCACTTGTTATATACCAGTAACAGTTTTTAAATGTATATATCAATTTACTATTAGTATTGCTGTAAGCCTGTTCCTCTTTTACATTAATAAATTACAAAGTAATCATTGAGTTGTTTGTGTAGATTAGCCATGCTGACATAAGTACTTGTTCCAAACTTGAATATTTTAATGAAACATTAATTAAAATGGCAACAAACTGTAGGCTACTAGCACATTGAACAGTGACAGTTACTTAGTTACTGGATTTTACCAAAAGGAACGTTTAAGGGTGGAATAAGCAGTAACATACTGTAACAAACATATGCATGGGGCATGGGGGCCAACGAGGGTAACAGGAATAATGAGAGTAACAAGGAAAAACAGGGGTAATGAGGGTAACTGGGGTAACGAGGGTAACACGGGTTAGTAACGAGGGTAACAGGTGGTATATAAAAATAACAAGGGTAAGTACCCTTGTTACCTTTGTTACTCCTAGCTGTTACCTTCGTTACTCTCATTACCCCAGTTATACCAGTTACCCTTACCCTACCCTACTTATCCTAGCACAATACCCTCATTATCACAGTTACCCTCATCAACCCAATTACTCTTGTTAACCTAGTTGCCCTTGTCACCCTTGCTAAGGCTAATTTTCACTGCAAAATTAACAAAGGGTAAAGCACTATGTTGTTGTACATGTAAGACAGGAAGTTTGAACTCGATTGGTCAATTAAAAAATAAGCATGCAATTGCATAGTTGCTCATATAGATTTGTATGTTTGTGTACTGACTAAAAAGCACTAGATATGAGACAATTAAATTTAAAATTTAAAATTTAAAGTCATTGAAATTAGAATTTTTAGGCAGTGTCTCTTATAAAATTAGAATCTACATGTACACACATTGACTGTTTATTATAGGAGAAGAGACTGGAAAAGTGGAGTGGCTAACAGAAAGTGTATCTCTCACTAAACCATCAGCAGGTCAATGTCAGGAAGTGGTCAGTAAACTAAAGCACAATCATGAGGACATTTACCTCTATTACTCATCACCTGATATCGTATATGTACTAATGTCACGGTTATTGGATATTGCAACAATAAAGTGGATTAATATAGCACACACTGAAGTAACAACAGATGTCATCCTGTTACTGTCACACAATCTGGCAAACAGTACTACATTAGAAACACTATGGATCATTGATAATTCCATCAACGATGATGGTGTCATTGCTTTATCACAGTCTTTAGTCAATAACAAAACACTCACTAACTTATCTCTTAAAAACAATCCTGGCATCACATCATCCAGTGCTCAGTCAATGGCTGAACTTTTGCTCTACAACCACACACTAACTGATGTCTATCTCCAACATACTAACATTGATACTGATGGAGTACTAGTGCTGATGGAATCTCTCAAAACCAATAATACACTATGGACACTATATCTAGACAATAAACATAAACAAATGTGTTGTTTGTTACCTTATTACACAACTATTGAAAACAAATTAGGATTTTTGTAACATGTAAATTTATTGATGCTATTATAGTTTATTAATACATAAAAGTAATTTAAGAAAATCTTTTAAAATAATAATTTTATCTATATTGACCATGCTTAACAGCAATTAGTATTAAATAGTCCATCTCTCTGTCTCTCTTCAGTTTTTCTACTAGCAGTTGTAAGAATTCATTCTGTTGTCCTCCCTCATCACAACAGCTTCTTCACCTTAGAAATGGAAAGAAAAAAGAAAGAGAGGCCACAATAACTTTTTTTACAATGCATATTTATCAAATTGGGAGCTCAGTACAGCATAGACAATGGCCTTGGTATTTGAGAAATTTGCATGGTTTATAATGAAGAACATGATTTATGAAACAATAAGAAGACCAAAACACACACCACAAATCACCAGTTCACTACAACTGAACATGCATCCCATTAGATACACCAGTTCACTACAACTGAACATGCATCCCATTAGATACACATTATAGGGTTTATCATAACATTCAATTAACATAGCTTTTATTCCAATAGTAGAAACAGTAGAAAGGGGCAACATAGTAAACTTACAGTGCCCTCTAATTTTATCCTATGCAATAAAACTACTGGTACTTTAAGATTGCCTCTACAGTGCTACTTTCTAGGGCAACTAGAGTCTCCCAGTTGACTACCCACTGCACCATATGTGAAGAAAGGATAGTGAGAGACACATACATGACAAATTATACCACATGCTACTAGGTATGCATGCCACTGAATATACATTAAGGTTTTATCTTTAAAATAACAGCATTCATTATGTCCAGTCACTTCATTAGATTTACAATACTTGCAAAAATTTTAGCTGAAATAATTTCTAAAAAGCCATGGGCTATAGCTTGTGGTCTGTAATGGCCTACACATGGAATTTCTATTTTTATCTGCTACATGCTCTTATGTTGTGTAGAAAGTTTTTGAATGTTGAAAATTCAAGCTGACTCCCATCAAAATTTGATTTTGAATTTTTAAAGTTCACCAAAAGCCATGGTGCTTGTCAGCAATCATCATGCTAGTTAGCTCCTTCAGTGTGCTTTGTGGCAAACAAGGTTTCAAATAAGCACAAACATCATTACTTAACACTGATAGTTTACTAGCAGCTAGCATCACACTTTTACAATACCATTAGCATACATGTACATACAGTACTAAATTATATGTACTGTCAAGTTTTTATAAATATCAGTACAAGTAGATTGTAATTAAGTGTACATACAAGTACCAATGTACATGTACTTGACCTATGTCTGTAGTATAAAAAACACGTGCTTGTACTTACTCCTTTCATTTCTCCAAAGTAT